TTTATTATTTAGTAGCATTTGTCAGGTAGTCTGTAGAGCAAATTTCAGCCTATGGCTTTTCCCCTTACCCCAAATTGGTCACTTTGACCAGCTACTGTTCTTGTGTGATTAATCATCAAACTCACATGACATAGTTTCTGCTTCTGTTATGGCTAACTGAAACTTTTACTTCTCTTGAATAGGAGTGCAAAATGATGAATAGCAAATAACAAGCCTTGCAAAAGGAATTTTTGGGCAGATTTTTTGTCAGTGATAATATTAAGCAACCATCTGAGATTTGTAGATGTTTTTATGCAGACCCATAATTTGTCCTAACATTCATAAGCAGCAAAGGGTATGATCCTAGGAATAACAGTAGCCCTAACTCAGGTTTTAATTTGTAAACGTAATCACACTAAGCTTTTAAAATACCATCTCTATTGCCTGTGCTACACAGAATATTCACTGACCAAATCTGTGGACCAGATCAGCAAGTAAAATAACTGTTATCCACCGTATACAGTAAGTACACTTATAAATCAGTGACATCCTACATATATCAGACTTTTTTACTTTTAAAATAATTAGCTTCTGCTTCAGACCAGGAGAGATGGCTACACATAGAGCAATCAGCCTCTAGTTGAGCCAAACTGTAGTACTTTTTAGGGTGTGAACATAACGGAGAAATACATGAGAGAGACTGCTTGAGCCTGCTTGTCTGAATCCTCACAGAAATTCAGGGAGGATTCAATTGACAACTGTGGTTCTGTCTCATCAGGATTCAGTGTAATGCTCAATGCAAAAGACCAATCTCAGCAGACATGAAATACCTCACCCTGTCTCCAGCAATACCCAAAGATTTCTACAAGGCCAGGCATTCATGGGCCAGACCCTGCTCTCAACTGCTTTAACCACAGGACATTAGGAATAGTAACTTCAGTGGAGTTCCTCCAGATTTACACTGGTATAATAAAGCAGATGGAGCATGCGTCTTTGGTCACATCCAGGGAAATCTGTCTATGGAGACTCACCTGTAAGTCAGAGCAAAGTCAGGCTCACTATATCCGGAGCTCACTTTGTGAATGACTCAGTGCTAGAGACAAGGACAGCCACAGAAAGCTAGTAATGTAGTATATTAGCATGGACAGCTGGGATTCACTAGCCAGCCTTTTGCACTGCATTAAACCCTCAACCTTCAAGATAATCCTAGACACGGTTGAGGTCAATGTCACACAGTTCTGTTTCTTAAATTTCTACAAGAAACCACCCTTTCCCCTTGCTTGAAAGTCCTCACCATTCTCTTGCTTTACTGCCTCCACCATTTTGGTTTTAGCCTGCTCATCTTGTATCTTCTTCTGTTCGTTGTAACACTCAAGCACTTCTGGAGGAAGTTTTTCACCTGGGATGCGAGGCGGCAGGAGCAAGATATTATGGGAATCATAGCCTTTCAGCATTCGCAGAATCTAAGGAAGAAAAAACCCCCCAACAACATAGGTATAGGACAGCTTTCAAGAATCTGTTTTGTTCTTCTGTACCAGGGATTCCCCAAGACTCAGAAAGAGCCCAAGGACTTGCCCTCTGCAAGCACCCCTCTTACCCTATGTTGCCAGGCACACGAGACATATCCCACTGGCAAAACCAAGGTTCAGCATGCAAACTACTTTTACCAGTTCCAAACTACTTTTCCAGGAGGTTTCAGTGCCACAGAGCAGCAGGGAACATACCCAGAATACTGCACAGAGGGATAATCTAAGGGAGTTTGAGGACAAGCAGTAAAACAGAAATATCCCTGGAGGCCACAATCACAGCTCCCACCCCACAGTTCCTCTCCCACTAAGTTTGACAGTGTACTAGTTGGTCTTGTTTAATAAAGAATGGGAAACTTCAGAAATGCTGGAGAACTGAGAGGTGTTAACTAGCAATAAGATGCCCTCTCTTCTCACCTTCTCCTCAGCCAGGTACTGCTGGTCAAACTCCAAGGAATAGAACTCAATGGGAAACTTGCAGGGGTTTTTTACTACCACCTCTGCTTCATCACCAATACTATAAGGCAGCATGGGTCCCAACTCAAGCACTGAGGGGTTAAACTCCAGACGTGGCTCCAGCCCATACCCAGAGACCAGCAACGGCAGGCGTTGGCTGCTCTGGGAAATGTGAACTGTCAACTGGGTGCTGTAAAACCTCTGAGAAGAGAAAGAGAAACCCATGAGATTCCTTCACATTTCTTGTTTAAAAAAAATACAAGATGACACATAAGGCTCAAAACTGCCATTACTGTACACAGGATCAAGTCCACTCAGATCAACTGAGCTGCATCCATTGGCTTGCACCAATGGTGAATCTGGCCCAAAGTGCACAGTATTTGCATTTATGCTCATCTTAGTTGCAGGACCAATTATGACATCTAGGTCATAGATAGCAACTGAGGCTTAGGGCAAAGACAAACACAAGATGACTTTCCATGTGTTTTCCATTTAGCACTGGGTGAAGGCATAATTGTGAACTGGCAAATAAACTAAAAATACCTTGGAGTGAAAAGCTCAGCTTTGGGATAGATTTACCGCTTCCCAAAAGAGCTCATATGAGGTTACACTACCTGATCTTAATACCTGACACAGGTGTATCACACCAAAAGAAGAACTACCATAGGGAAGATTATTCCACTACTGACTCCACACCCTGACAATGAGGGCAGGTTATTGATGGAGTTGGGATACTGGTTTAGTTGGGCCTCTCATCTGAATGAACCCAGCCATTCCTGTGTTCCTATGTATATGCAGCCAGTCCAGCAAGCTGCTCTCAAGAAGCCTAGGAGGGTGTTAATGGGTAGGGAAAGAGCCAAGTATGGGGAATGGCTTCTCTTCATGGGATTTCCTTGTTTAAGGGAACAGCTTGAGGGCTGTTGAAAGGATCATCAGGTGAATTTTGGGTCAGCCTTAAGGGAGAAGCGTTTACTAAGGGACCAGAAGGGCAGCACTAGGTCAACGTGTGAATGCTCCCCCTGTTATAAAAGCCATAAAAAGAAGAGTCATATGACACAACAATACTTTACACTCCCCTGCAAAATTAACCTAGTGGTTTCAAAGTGCTTTATAGAGACAAGTATGGAGGGGGAAATGAGGCCATGCAGTGCAGCAGTGGCAGAGATGGAAATAGGCCCTCTCCCTTACTCCCAGTCTTGTAGCGAAAATAGATACTTTTCTCTATGTTTCTTTGTTCCTTGTTTTAGTATTAACCCCTGCATTCTGTAACTTTCCACCCACATGGTACAGGATGGCCCACTACGCATGTCTTACATGTTGCCCAGGTTTTGTTTTGTAATGACCAATCAAAATGTAACACGCCAACTAAAAATTGCTAGCTCAATAAAAGCAGCGCGCGCGCTTTGTTTAGGGTCGACACTGATTTGAGCAACAAGCTCCTCTGTCGGCCTGCTTGCAAGCAATAAAATAGAGTTGGACCCAGCCTGAAAGTGTGACTCTCTTCTAGAGGTGAATTGGACTAGCCTCCAGGGGATAAAATCAGCAATTTATGCAACAGTCTGACATTCTAATGACAGCACCACACTGCCCACCTCATCTCTGAGGAACACTAGAGCCAATCTTACCTCTTCTGCTGGGGCAAACTTGACCTGTAGATTGAGTCGCTCCCCTGGAGCAAGAATTCCAGAGGAGGGGATGACCTCAAAGATCCGGGGCTTAGACTTGAACTCCTGGCGCAGCTTCCGCCGTAGGCTCAATGGCAAATGTTTGTCTACCTGCTTGCCCAAAACCAACCAGTAAGATACTCTATTTCAGCACAGTCATTAGCTATAGTGTCTTATTCAGGATGTCAGGTACAGAAACAAACAGCATGGGTGTGATTTTCAAAACAGAGTAGGGCACTTAGGTACTCAATCCACATTGGTTTCAGTGGGAAGTGAGCATCTAAATCTCTTTGAATATCTCAGTTCACTATATAAAATCAATAAAATTTGCTGAGTCAGCCTCTTAACACCTCAGAGAGGACAGGCATCTTGTAGCAAAGGGCAATAACTCCTTCTGTGGACATTCTGAAACAGTTTGAAAGAAAACTTTAAAAAGAATAATAATGAAACTGAGTTCATGTTGGGTTTCCTATAGACAACACATGGCATTTTCCCACTTCTCCCTAACTTCAGCTGAGCAATTCATTCTCTCTTCTCCTCTCTGAAAGGAAACTGCTTTGGGAGAGGGGGGCTGTAAGGGACATCCATTTTCACCCCATAAAGCTGGTCCTTGCTTTGCTACACAGCATCACAAGACACTTTCCTCCCAATCCCCTGGTGTTGGGTATGGTGTTCGCACAGTGTTTCCAGCCTGTTCAGGTTTGAGAAGTAATGCACCAGGCTTAAGAACCAAATACTTCCCTGTTCCCAGCACAGAGCTGGATGGGACATAAGATCATAAGGAAGTAGGGCTGAAAGGGATCTCACAAGGTCATCTAGTCCAGCCCCCTGCTCAAGGCAGGATCGTCCTTGACTAAACCATCCCAGCCAAGTGTCTGTCCAAGTTCCTCTTACCATTTTCCAAAAATGAAGATTTCAGTTTCTCTAGGCAGCCTGTTCCAATGCTTAACCACCCTCATAATCAGAAAATTCCTCTCAATCTCCAACCTAAATTTTACCTGCTGCAGCTTGAGGGCACTGCTCCTAGTCTTGTCCTCTACTGTCACAGAGAAAAGCCAAAACTGGACACAGTACTACAGCTGAGGTATCATCAGTATTGAACAGAGCAGAAGAATCAATTTTTTTTGATTTGCAAGTGACACTACTATTATTACAGCTTAGTAGACTGTTGGCTTTTTTGCAACAACAGCCCACTGTCGGTTCAAATTCAGTTTATGGTCTCTACTATAATCCCCAGGTCCTTCTCTGCAGTACTGCAGCCTAGCCAATCATTCCCCAGCCTGTATTTGTGCATGCAATTGCTGTATTCTGTCCCAAGTGCAGGACTTTGTATTTGTCTTTGGTGAATCTCAACTGATTGACTGCAGACCATTTTTCCAGTCTATCCAGGTCATTCTGGAGGCTGGACACCTTCAAGCACATCCGTGATGGGCTGGCTTCAGGGATGATGCCCAAGGGCAACCAGCACGGTTTCATTAGGGGCAGGTCATGTCGGACCAACCTGACTGCCTTTTATAAACAGGTCACAAAAGCATTGGATGCAGGTGTCGCCGTGGATGTAGTCTTTCTGGACTTCAGCAAGGCCTTTGACACCATCTCCCACCCCATCCTCATTAAAAAACTAGGCGACTGTGGCACTGATGCCTACACAGTCAGATGGATTGCAGATTGGCTGAAGGGTCACACTCAGAGGGTGGTGGTGGATGGGTCATATTCGACCTGGGGGGAAGTGGGCAGTGGAGCCCCCCAGGGCTCGGTCCTTGGGCCTGCACTGTTCAA